GTGTAAAACTGTCAGCGTATGCCATCCTTTTTCCCTCCTTTTTTTTCTGCCATATGTCTACCTCTCATTTCAAGTATCCAATCCGATTTGTGGACATGATAAGGTCTCCTTCCTCCTCTTCCATGATCATTAACCTAGTGGAGAAATAGACAGGATTACACACAATCCACCCAAAAGCATCTTTAGGATTTTCTTCTGTCTTGTTGCGCAATCATGCAAAAAGTCGTTCAACGTAACATGTTTTATCGACTGTTTATTGTACATTATGGGAAGGTGTGTAAGCCTCTGGAAAAAAGAGAATAGGATGATTGTAATGATGGGTAAACGACCTTTAAACAACTTTAAAGAATGCCTTACAATGAAGCAAAGTAAAAAAGTACGTATAAAAATCATGAAAAGGGGTAAAAGTCAGAGAACGCAATATAGGAATGGGATGTAAAGTTACAGTAAATCTACAGTAATTTTATAAAATTTTCAAAGTTGATAAAAGTCAGAGTTAGGACTTTCAAAAGATGCTTAATAACAGGAAGCTCCTCTAATTTGCTTAAGTTAGTGTTACCTTAAAACCTGAACCTATAAATTATAGGCTATAATCTCAAATGGCTGAATAGAGGGCCCTCCCACACTGTCATGTTTGAGCTTAATCATCTCATTTCTCGTAAAAGATATCAAAAATGTGTCAACTGATAAAACATTGCTTATATTATGGTGAACAATTTATCAGTTGAAAAACTTTTGATATCTTTTACAGGAAATGAGATAATTGGGTTCCAAATAGGGTGGGCTTCTTTTCCGTGTTGAAAAGGTGTGAAACTTGTCCCTATGTTTTCGGAAACGCTATTTTGTTCGAATTTTATACCAATCAATTTTGAACAGGTAAACTCAGAATACTAAAATTTCACTTTAGAGCTTTTAAGCAAATTTCCAGACGTACGACGTTGGCTATTTCATCCAGAGAACAACAAAAAAAAACCATGGTTAGGACACTTCTGTATTAGGTACCGTAAACACTCCATCAAATGACTCCGTAACTTTCAGTCAATTTACCTAGGCTCCTGTGAGAGATATCAAAAAGTAGTCAACTGACAAAATGGTTATCATAATATTAACAATATTTTGTCAGTTGATTACTTGTTGATATCTCTCACAGGAACCGAGATAATTGAGATCAAATTTTATAGTGTTTAAAGGTGGGGGAGACAGGAGATTTTTCGTAGTTTTTTTGTAGCTAGAGTATGCATTCTACCGTCACGGTGTACAACGCTTAATGTCACTCTGCGTACAACCGGCGTCCTCGCCTTTATGTATGCAATCGGGCGCCGGCTGCCTCTTTGCCCGCGTGGCTCATTCGGTCGCGGCGCCGCACTCGCAATCCTCGCCCCCAAGTTACTTACTACTTGTTACTTACTACTTGTTCAAACTATACACATCAACACTCAACTACTGTGTTCTGTTTATATTGCGTTCTTGAAAAAAACTAAAAAAAGTGTTGCTACTACAATTTCAAGTGGTTCAAATTTAGGAAAGTTTTTTATTTTTCAATGGAATAAATGACTAATGGAAAAATGATGGTATCTGAATTTTGGTTTTAAAACTTTGAAGTCCATTTTTAGCTTGTGTACAAAGTCTGAATTAAAAAAAACAATAGCACAACCTGTCGGATGGCCCACTGACGGACAACGGATGGACAGCGGACGGCTAGCGTACGGCTAGCGTACGGCTAGCGGACGGAGAGCGGACGGACAACGGACGGACAACGGGCGGACAGCGGACGGCTTACGGACGGACTACGGACGGACAGACAATGGACGGGCAGCGGATAGGCCACGGACGGACCATGGACTGTCGGAATATTTAATAGGGGCCCAAGTTTGATTGTGAGCTAAATTATCTCGGTTCCTATAAGAGATATTAAAAAATTTTCAACTGAAAACATGTTTATTTTATTATGATAAACATGACAACTTTTTGATATCTTTGACAGGAACTGAGAAAAATAGGATAGAAGTTAGGGAGCCCTTTTATTACAGGTTTTTTGGTACACAAAAAGTAAATCTTTAACAATATTCCTTCTAATAAGTCTTCTAATAAGGAAACTACTATTTTTCAAAGAATTCTGATTTCTTGGAAACTCATGACTTTTGTAATTCTAGTCACATCTGGTCCATCCCGTTACCGGTCCATCCCGCAAAACGCTGAAAAAATGAGAACCCCACAATCATCTAAAAGAAAGTTCTAATTGGAACTAACAACTCAATCTCGTTCCACAATACTAATTCATCTGTCAGTCTTCAAATTGCATGCCTTTCTTTACCCCATACCAACTGGAGGTCGTTTCAAGGCGGTGCCAAAGGTGTGAAGAGTAGTGATGAATAGAAAAGTGTCCCCCCCTTTCTTCCGGTTTTCCGAAGTGGTCAAAGGTGAAACCGGGGAACGAACGGGTATAAAAATGCACAGATTTGGCATTGAAAACTCATCAAACCATGAAATTCCTCATTCTCTCTTTCCTATTCCTCGGTGCTCAATGTGGGTACCCAACGGCTCAGGGTAGCTATCCAACAGCACCCGATTCCTATGTTGTCCCCAAACAAGGATCGTATCCAACTGCGCCAGGAGCCTACGCCACCAAGCATTCCTATAGAGAACACACTGCAGTGGAAGTCGGTGGAGCTCCACCACAGGCACCTCCACCACCTCCCCCACCAAAGCCAAGTGGATACTCCTCTGATGATCAATCTGTAGACGTTGCTGGATCTCCACCATCTCCACCAACCGACTCTCAAGTTCAGAGCTCTCCAGCCCTCAGCTCCACCTATGGAGGTGGCTCTTCTCCAACCTACGGAGGATCCCTATCATCTGGAGGGATCGTTGGTGGCAACTCGCTCAACTATGGAACCTACAAGGAGAACACAGCATCTACGGATTCCGCTGTTGGAGGAGGTGCCCAGTCTGGATGTGAGTTGTCCAATATATTTCGAAAAACTTTTAACTTGAATGTTTCAGACCGCCGCCGCGCCAAGGCCAAGGCTCGTGCCCGCGCTCGCGCTCGTACCGCTGTCAACCGCCGATTCAAGCAACGTCGTCACCTTCAACCAATCAGAAGATTCCACAAGTTCCACAAGAAGGCCAGACAATAAATTTCTTTCGTTTTTTTCTTCAGAACATACTGCCAAACCTTTTCTTTTGACTTTTTGCTCCGAATAAACTTTCTTGACAATTTATGATGTATCTTGGTTGAAGGTTCTGGTCACGAAATAGAATTTTCAGATTTTGAAGACTTTTAGATTATCAAATTTCTTCTTAAAATGGCCCTAAGCAGAGATGCACGGATAAATCTAAGGAGAACGGATGGACCACGGACGGACCACAGACGGACAAGGGGCGGACAACGGACGAACAACGGACGAACAACGGACTGTCCGAATGTTTCGTCTAAAAGATATAGTTTTGTAGTTCAAGTATCATTAGAATTTGACAACTGATGGACCAAAAACGGTCTGCGGACGGACAACAGGCAGAAAACGGACGAACCACGTACAGACCACGGACGGACCACGAACGGAACATGAATGTACCAAGAACGGACCACGGACGGATCACGGACGGATCACGGACGGACCATGAATGGACCAAGTACGGACATGGGGCGGACAATGGACGAACAACGAACAGACCACGGACGGACCACGGACGGACCACGGGCGGATCACGGACGGATCACGGACGGACCACGGACGGACAAGGGGCGGACAACGGACGAACAACGGACGGACGACGGACTTAGGGAATGCTAAAAAAAGGAATTTTCGTAGTTCAAATATCAGTGGAATTTATTCATTCCGTTTCAAAAAAAGTTAAAAGAAATGTTTTATTCAGTTCTAGACATAATCCAAGAGTTCAACAATTCGAGTTCTTTATTGTTTCTTTTGCTGGAATCTTCGGATTGGTTGAAGGGCGCGACGCTGGAACTTTCGGTTTTGAGCGGTACGGGCTTTGGCGCGTTTTCGGTCTGAAATTCACAAGTTTCATGAACAATATTCAATCCTCAAACACACATTCGGAAGTTGGGGCGTAGGTGGTGTACTCGGAATCCGAAGCGACATCGTTGTCACTGGAAATGTACCCAGATGGAGATGGTGGTGGTGGTGGAGCGGAGTACGATGGCTTTTGAGCATAATCCACTGGTGGGGATGGGTAGGATGGTTTGGTCGGGTAAGTTGGAGCAACTGGATACTTCTTCGGGGTTTGGTAGGATGGTGGTGGAGTTGGGTATCCTGGAGTTGTTGGATAGCTATTCTCAGCCACCGGATATCCACATTGTGCCAAGATGACCAAGAGGGCAGAGGAGATGATGAGAGAGCGCATTCTTGGAATGATGATTTTGAACTACTGGATAGGTTCTTTTATATGGGTTCTATAGAATGACTTTTGCCCGTTGGAAACTAGTAGTAGTATAGGTTTTAGGGGTAATAGCCTATTAGGAAATCGAGTGGCGTATAGAACGGTATGATGAGTTTCTGCTAGTAACGAGATGGAATGGTTCCTTGAAACCTTCCGGTCAAACTTCAGAAGATTTTCAGAACACATCACAAGTCACATTTGGAAGATCAGGGATTTTAAGCAGAGATGCACGGAGAACGGACAACAAACGGATGGAGAACGAACGGAGAACGGACGGATGGACGACGGATGAACATTTTTTTCGAAATTAAATTATAATGTTTTTTCCTAGTCCTTGAACTTCCTCGAACCATCTTTCCAATACCTACAGTACTTTACGTTCCACAGAATCTTCTTGAACTACAAATCAGTTTTCTCAAAACTATCATGGACACACCCTTTCACATGATTAGAACACACTCGTAGTACTATCTAAAGAATTCCGGTCACACTACTCCGGTCACATCACCTCATCTCTGCAGATGGAACCTCATTAAATTGGTTTCTACTAATTTCTACTGGTCAAAGTTGAACGTTCTGCTACTATAAAAATGATTCTAAGACCCTTTAGAAACCATCCATCCCATCATCTACAACAATGCGTTCTCTCATCATCTCATCTGCCCTTCTGGTCATCTTGGTTCAATGTGGATATCCTGTCGTTGAGAATGCCTACCCAATCACCCCAAGTTATCCAACAACCCCAGGATATCCAACAACTCCATCCTATCCTACTCCTCCAAAGAAGTATCCAGTCCCACCAGCATATCCACAAAAGCCATCCTACTCTGCACCACCACCACCTCCACCAACTGACGCTGAAGTTGTCGCATCAGACAGCGAGTACACCACTGCTGCTTCTACTTCTGAATGTAGAACTTATAGATGTATCTCGCCCTTGAAAATATTTTCATTTAGATCGCAAACGTGCCAAGGCTCGCACCGCCCACAACCGCCAATTCCAACGTTGTGCTCTTCAACCAATCAAGAGATTCCAACAGAAGAAGCAATAATTTTTTTGAGTGTGTCTTTTCTTGAATTTTTGCACGCATTATCTTTCAAGCTATTTTTTTTCATTGAAAATAAAATTATCTTTTTTAGCCATTCTTCCAATTCCACAATGAATTCTTGTAACAATGTAAAATGGATTGAGTATCCTTTCAGAAAAGACTTACAGAAATGAGAGAACTACAAAAAAATGAACACAAAATGTTGTCAACTAATGGATTAGAAATTTAAAGGAGGCGAGACAGCAAAAATCGGTCGTCAGGCGCCTTCGCGCCCCCGTAGCTCAGCCGGTAGCAGCGCTGTACCCCTGAGCTGCCTGTCATGAGTTCAATCCCTCATGGGGGTTGTCTATGCAAAATATCAGGAAAACTTTTTTTGTTGGTGTCTGGCCTCCTTTAAGAAATTATCAATGCCTTTTTTTTTCGCAAACTGCCAACTTTGAGTCAATATATGTCATTCTTTGTGAAAGATATCAAAAAGTTGCCAACTGATAAAACGTTTATCATAAGATCAAATACATTTTGTTAGTTGACTACTTTTTGATATCTCTTACGAGAGCCAAGATAGATTGGCTCAAAGCTGAAAGTTAGAAAGGTCATTCTATCACGGTAATTGGGAGCACACCTTGAACAAATTAGCAACTTCAGAATTATCTGTACTCAATATCAGTTTTTGGGTTTCTTTTTTTGGGGAGATGATCTGATGCAAGGCGAGAAGGATCAGAACAACTAGGAGAGAAATTTTCCACCATTTTCAGAATAAATTGTAATTTTTTCAAAGAATAAGGAATCGTCGGATTTCAGAATAAAAAGAACATGAAAATGCCCCTACTTTCTCAGAATGTACTCGTTTTCGCTGTTGTCGCTTCTATTGCTCTGGTTTCTGGTGCTCGTGGTCGATTGCTGGGATTAGGAGGAGACGAAGGAGGACTCGGTGGACTTGTCGGAGGACTTCTTGGAGAAAATGGACTCGGTGGAATCTTGAAGGGACTTCTCGGAGACAATGAAAACGCTCTCAGTGGACTTCTGGGTATTCTCGGGGGAAATCCAGGTGGTTTGGGATTGCCAATTCTTGGAGACATCACCACACTCCCACAGTTCTTGCTTGACTTCCTCCAAAAAGTACCATCGGATATTCTTCCTCAAGTTATTGAACTTCTCTCCAACACAAGCCTTAATATCAATGAAATCACTGATAAGCTGACTGATTTGTTGTCTGGAAAGATTGATGATGTTAGTAGACTCAATTGATATTTTGCATTTCTATTATTTTCAGAACCTTCTTTCCGATCTTCTTGCCACCGTTGCCGATCTTGTTCATGAACTTCTCGATGGAATCGCCAATGTTCTTACCAGTCTTGGAAAAGTTTTCGAGGACTTGACTGATATTCTCCAGAATAAAGACCAATCCATTGCTCAACAGAAGGATGCTATTGACAAATTGAGACAGAAGTCTCCAATTGTAAGATTTGCTGTTAATGCTTTCTGTAATGTGAGCTTTTTTCAGGAAGTCGACACTATCTTCTTCATCGCGTCACAAGTGGTCAAGTCTCTCCAAAACGGGCAGGTTCCAGAAGTTTCCATTCCAGTTGATGGAGCTCCAGCTGTCTAATTTTGCCTTAACGATATTAATTGTCTTGTTTATTTGTCTTCTCTTTTATACAGGTTCATATTCTTCAACTTTGACCAGCTAGCACCAAAACAGAAATCGAAAAATCGGAAGAACGGTTGAATTCATCAGTTCACTTGTTCTTCAACAATGCGTTCCTTCATCATCTCCTCTGCTCTCTTAGTCATCTTGGCTCAATGTGGATACCCGGTTGCGGACAACGCCTACCCAACAACTCCAAGCTATCCAACTCCACCACCATCCTACCCACAACCAAAGAAGTATCCAGTGCCACCAGCAGCACCAACTTATTCGGCTGCTCCTGCATCCCTTCCAGCATCCCTCCCATCTTCTACTGATGAATCAAGCTTCTTCAGCGAGGAGGAGTCTACCACTTCTGCCACTTCTGAATGTCAGAAACCCTTTATAATTTCGTAATACGTATCAATTTTCAGTCCGCAAACGCGCCAAGGCCCGCACCGCCCACAACCACCAATTCCAGCGTCGTGCTCTTCAACCAATCAGAAGATTCCAGCAGAGAAAGCAATAACTTTTTTTATGTGCGATTTGATACCCTTAATCTTTCAAAAAACGTTTTTATTCTTTCTCAATAAAGGTATTAAATAATGACAGTGTTATCTTCTTAGCTGATCATCCAAATGAGTCACAACCGAATAAACCAGGATATTTGATGGAATCGAGTTCTGAGGGCATAGAATCGTCAGGGATCTTTTCTCCATATCGATCTGAAATTGGAGAGATATTGAAAAAGGATATTTTAAGCATTAGGATATTTTTGGAAAAAGTAAGATACCGCGACCTACTGATTGGTTCAAGTCAAACTACCCACGACCTGTGTCACTTCCGAGACTTCCATATCCCTAATTTTAAGAACACTCACCTCTGTGACAACACAAAATCCCCAAACCGAAGATGCTAAAACATTTGCATCGACATTTGAACTGCGCGAAAAGGCGAAAAGATGATTTTTGATCTCCAGAGATGGTTCTAGAACGACCACTTTTGTTCGGTGATCCTCCACTTTCATACCGAATGAGAGACAAGAATCAGGAAGCTGAATTAGTGATTAATCGTTAAATTTAATGCAAAATTAATTGAACTAACCGGCTCTACTCCAATTTTGCAAAGAACTACAGCATCGAATGAAAGATCCAAGGTGAATGGGTACAATTGGTTGGAGCTGGTCCCGTAGAAGTACTGAAAAAAACCCCTAGGTGGTAGCTACCGTATTCGCTCTAATGGAAGCCCATCCAAACGATGAACTCTGAGCTCAATTATCTTCGATTTTGGGAAAGATATCAAAAAGTTGTCAACTGATAAAATATTGTTGATATTATGATAAACATTTTTCTAGTTTCCATATGTTCATATCTTTTACAGGAATTGAGATAATTGAGCGCAAAGTGGACTCAATGGTTCTTACTCGATGTACATTTTCTTTCCTCGCAATTTTCCTGATGCGTCTTGGTCTCTGCTCCACTCCTCCTGACTTTGGCACATGTGTCACTGTCACAAAATCCGGGAGATCTCTTCTGAGAACGTTGTATAGTCGTTCGTGATCTATTACCACGACTACATCCACTTCAAATGCGGCTGCTGATTTCAGAATACATGTGTAGCCGCCTCCATCAACCCATCCACAAGTGTTAACTATCATTCCACCTAGTTTAGCTGCTGGATTCTCTTCTATCTTAAATAGAATTTTCGAGATTACATTCTCTGTATTTTATGGTCATACCTGACCATTCATCGTGGTGGCAAGCGCCTTGAGGAGGGCTTCGTAAAGTGGAAGATTCTCTCCTGGAGATGTGTGTCCGAACTAAAATATGTTCTTAAATCCAACAAAAGAAACTAAGCTTACATTTAAAACCAAAGGCATGTTCCTCTCAAACCCATCAACAAAATCTGCGGTTTTTTGTACCAACATAGCGCTAATGGATCCGGGAACCGATATATTGTTCTGTCCAACATCAAGATCCACCAAAATGGGAGTTCCTCCTTTTCGAACTGCATAGTTACACAGGATTCGAGATACTGTAGTTTTACCAACATCTGTTGGTCCCACTGAAAGCTTGACTAGTTTTTTTTTGAAGATTACAACACCAAGATACTGTACCTAACAGAATTCTTGGCCCTCTCTGGGTGACTCCAGTGTCTTTGCCGCTTGCCTCTCGATCTTTCCGTAGTTTTTCTAGAGTTGCATGGATGTTCAGGTAGACGACCATTGCAGTACTCTCAGATGATATATAGGCACTTTCTGTACCTCCTTTTATTTCGATAGTGCCACCAGTCCATGAGAAAACTGCTGCGCGGAACTCTGGAAAATCATTTTTTTAAGATTTGAAAGTGCTTATGGGAGCTTCACAAGGATTTGAACTTGCGGGATAGTAAAATCCGTAATAGAAGGGTCCCTAACTTTTAGCCGATTCATCTCGGTTACTGTCAAAGATATCAAAAAGTTGTCAATTGATAAATTGTTTATCATATCCTGACCAACATTTTATCCGTTGAGACTTTTTTGATATCTTGCATAGAAGGCGAGATAATTGAGCTCAAACTTGACAGTGTAAAGGCCCACTGGTTTTGGGGTAACCCAAAAAACCTCAACAACTCTACTGCCCTTTACTTCTTCAAAAAAAAAACTCACTGGCTGGAAAAACATATTTCTGATTTGGTATCAGTTCGGTCCCGAAGATTTCGACATATCCATTTAAAAGTTCCAAGGAAATGTCTGAACAATTGTTGGCGACAAATCTCAATTCACAGCCTGAGTTGAGATCGAACCTTTGAACCCGTTCGGTAAACATTTTGAGATCTGAAGATTTGAATGTTAAAACAAGCGGGAAATTTGAAAAAAAGACGCATGGGGAAAAAAGAAAAAGAGAAAAAGAGAAAAAGAGAAAAAGAGAAAAAGAGAAAAAGAGAAAAAGAGAAAAAGAGAAAAAAAAAATCAATCACTCTAGAGGTCAGTTGTGACATTAAATGGAGGAAAAATGCGCTCGTTTTTTGAAGCAAAGGAGGACTGGTGGATGAACGCGTCGCGTTTACCAAAATTAATCAATAATGAGCAATACTTGGCTTCTAGGAAAGAAGAATGGGTGTGACGTCATTGATTACATATTCGATAGTTTATTTACAAAAATTATGTACAAGACAAATAAACAAGACAATTAATATCGTTAAGGCAAAATTAGACAGCTGGAGCTCCATCAATGGAATGGAAACTTCTGGAACCTGCCCGTTTTGGAGAGACTTGACCACTTGTGACGCGATGAAGAAGATAGTGTCGACTTCCTGAAAAAAGCTCACATTACAGAAAGCATTAACAGCAAATCTTACAATTGGAGACTTCTGTCTCAATTTGTCAATAGCATCCTTCTGTTGAGCAATGGATTGGTCTTTATTCTGGAGAATATCAGTCAAGTCCTCGAAAACTTTTCCAAGACTGGTAAGAACATTGGCGATTCCATCGAGAAGTTCATGAACAAGATCGGCAACGGTGGCAAGAAGATCGGAAAGAAGGTTCTGAAAATAATAGAAATGCAAAATATCAATTGAGTCTACTAACATCATCAATCTTTCCAGACAACAAATCAGTCAGCTTATCAGTGATTTCATTGATATTAAGGCTTGTGTTGGAGAGAAGTTCAATAACTTGAGGAAGAATATCCGATGGTACTTTTTGGAGGAAGTCAAGCAAGAACTGTGGGAGTGTGGTGATGTCTCCAAGAATTGGCAATCCCAAACCACCTGGATTTCCCCCGAGAATACCCAGAAGTCCACTGAGAGCGTTTTCATTGTCTCCGAGAAGTCCCTTCAAGATTCCACCGAGTCCATTTTCTCCAAGAAGTCCTCCGACAAGTCCACCGAGTCCTCCTTCGTCTCCTCCTAATCCCAGCAATCCACCATGAGCACCAGAAACCAGAGCAATAGAAGCGACGACAGCGAAGACGGCTTTGAAGGAGTACATTCTGAAATATAGGAGTTTTTAAATAGAAATGGTAACTAAAAGAGTTGATGACTTCTCATTTGCTGACTCCGATATTTTATACTACTTTTCAAGACATGATCTTTGTCTGAAACATTACGATCAGATTAATTTTTGAGCAACTCTTTGTTTTCTATTTTCAGTATTCTCCACTAGAAATTTATTCAAAATCGGTGATTTTCGAACACCAGACGGTCACTCAAAATAATGTTTCTACTATGGATTTGCATAAAAAACAGTTGGCCAGCAATCATTATCAAAAAATGTACCTAGATAGAATTATGTAAGATACCAGGAGACTGAATTATGCAACTACTGTCTGATCTAGTTCCGATTATATTTAAGCATTTCCTTTTTCGATAAAAATTGCTATTAAGCCTGACAAGTAACCATTTTCAGACAAAAACCAATTTTTACATAATTTCAAAACATTCTGTTGCTCAAAAACTAATCTCACAGTTGACAACATTTTTTTTAACCGTATTATTCAAATCTTTCTCTAGCATTTGGGTATATAAAACGAGCATTTTGCAGTGGTAAAAGTATATCATTCTTTCTATCACATTTTATCAATCAGTTCAATTTTTGAAAATTTTCAGAATGTACTCCTTCAAAGCCGTCTTCGCTGTCGTCGCTTCTATTGCTCTGGTTTCTGGTGCTCATGGTGGATTGCTGGGATTAGGAGGAGACGAAGGAGGACTCGGTGGACTTGTCGGAGGACTTCTTGGAGAAAATGGACTCGGTGGAATCTTGAAGGGACTTCTCGGAGACAATGAAAACGCTCTCAGTGGACTTCTGGGTATTCTCGGGGGAAATCCAGGTGGCTTGGGATTGCCAATTCTTGGAGACATCACCACACTCCCACAGTTCTTGCTTGACTTCCTCCAAAAGGTTCCATCGGATATTCTTCCTCAAGTTATTGAACTTCTCTCCAACACAAGCCTTAATATCAATGAAATCACTGACAAGCTGACTGATTTGTTGTCTGGAAAGATTGATGATGTTAGTAGACTCAATTGATATTTTGCATTTCTATTATTTTCAGAACCTTCTTTCCGATCTTCTTGCCACCGTTGCCGATCTTGTTCATGAACTTCTCGATGGAATCGCCAATGTTCTTACCAGTCTTGGAAAAGTTTTCGAGGACTTGACTGATATTCTCCAGAATAAAGACCAATCCATTGCTCAACAGAAGGATGCTATTGACAAATTGAGACAGAAGTCTCCAATTGTAAGATTTGCTGTTAATGCTTTCTGTAATGTGAGCTTTTTTCAGGAAGTCGACACTATCTTCTTCATCGCGTCACAAGTGGTCAAGTCTCTCCAAAACGGGCAGGTTCCAGAAGTTTCCATTCCAGTTGATGGAGCTCCAGCTGTCTAATTTTGTCTTAACGATATTAATTGTCTTGTTTATTTGTCTTGTACATAATTTTCGTAAATAAACCCTCGAACATGCAATTTTCTTTCTTTTAAGGCCAATTTAGGGAGTACCTGATACACGAAACCTTCTAATTGGTTGAAAGATCTAATGCTTATGTCTAGCCCTTAGCCTGTATCTTTTATGCTAAAGTCGAAATACGAGCTTCAGCCATAACGTTTATTGAGGAATTTAGCAAAGCTGAACAGACATCTAAAGATAAGAGAGTGGACAAACTCACCGGGGGTTACATGATAGGATGAATTGAATAGTATTGTTCTTATCAGCAAGTGTGAGGTGCGGACACTGACTCTACTTTTTTAAATATTCTCTTTTCAGGAAGTCGACATTAACTTTTTCATCGCGTCACAAGTGGTCAAGTCTCTCCAAAACGGACAGATTCCAAAAGTTTCCATTCCAGTTGATGGAGCGCCAGCTGTCTAACTTTCTCATAACGATACTTCCTGACTTGTTTATTTGTCTTGTACATAATTTCTGTAAATATACCATACTTGTGGAAAAGATGGCCTGCCAAGCGGGCCGGCCCGGGCCGAGGGTTTTGAGGTGATCTGGCCGGCCCGGCCATCCACATATATGAAATATACTATCGAACATGCAATTTTCATTTTTTTAAATGTCATTTGAAGGGTGCCAATTAAAGGAGTGATTGTTTTTTATTGTCTGATAAACTGTTATGAAAAAAATAATAAAGTTTAGAAAAGAGAATCAGTGCTTCTTCATGCGGAACCTTCGAACTGGTTGAAGAGCACGACGATGGAATTTGCGGTTTTGAGCGGCACGAGCCTTGGCACGTTTGCGGACTGAAAATTGGTGCGTATTATCGAAAAAAATTAGAAAATTTAGAGACATTCCGAAGTGGTAGAAGATTCAGATCTCTCCTCGTTGAAGAAGATCGACTTACACCACGAAGACACAGTTGAAGTTTCAAAGTGATCTTCTGTGTAGTACCCGGAAACACCAGAAGCTGGCAGAGATATAGGGACTTCAGAATAAGTGAAAGTAGATGGATAGGTTTTTGAAAATGGGTAGGATGGAGTCGTTGGAAAGCTCTCTTCTGTATATCCACACTGAGCCAGGATGATCAGGAGAGCCGAGGATATGATGATGGAACGCATAGGGACTGGAGTTTTGACTTTCAATGTTTTGCTTTTTATATGAACTTTGATTGGTTTGAAACTTTCAACTTTGAACATTAATGGCCCTAATAAAGGAAACTACGCTTTACGAAAGTTATTAGTTCACCAGAGGTTGAAGGTTTCGAGGAGTATAAAAGAAGCATGGGAAACTGTAGAGTCCGTCATTCCTTCATTCAACAATGCGCACCCTCATCGTCTTCTCCTCTCTCTTGGTCATCTTGGCTCAATGTGGATACCCGGTTGCCTACCCTACAACGCCAAGCTACGTAACTCCACCATCCTACCCACTTCCAAAGTATCCAGCTGCTCCAACCTACTCTGCGGTTCCAGCTCCATCCATCAGCATTTCCGATGAAACCAGCGTCTACAACGAGGAGGACTCTCAATCTGAATGTGACTAATTTTTTTTTCGGAATTTTGGATAACTTGATTTTTTAAAAATTTCAGTCCGCAAACGTGCCAAGGCTCGTACCATGAAGAACCGAAAGTTCCAGCGTCGTGCTCTTCAACCAATCAGAAGATTCCAGCAGAGAAAGCATTAATTTTTGGTTTATGTTTCTATAATCCAATAAATCGAATTAAACCTACACCCTCTCTCTCTCTCTCTCTCTCTCTCTCTCTCTCTCTCTCTCTCTCTCTCTCTCTCTCTCTCTCTCTCTCTCTCTCTCTCTCTCAAACCGTTTCCGTGTTTTCTAGTTTTTCAAAATATAATCGGACAGTAGTTTGTATATAAATGTGTGGGTTATCTCGTTTCCCAAAAATGGTAAAAGTTTCACAGTCCTCCAAGAATATTTATCAATTGGCTTCCGTATTTTTCTTCAATTCTTTTTCACTATGTACGCTTTGTAGGTTGACTCTGAAGTTTTGGAAATACTGAAAATAGGAATTTTCAGCAGCATTATCTCAAACGTTCATAGACAGTGTAGCAGAAAGTGAAGGAATTAATAAGCATGCCGGTTATTATAGGTACAGTTTACCCTAAAACATTTAACAGAAGGTCACCCACACCATACTTGTAAAATTCCGGGCCGGGCCTGAGGAAATTTTCAAGGCCCGGGCCCGGTAGCAAAAATTTTTTCGTTTTGAGCCAAATTTTGAGCTCTCAATACAATTTTCTCCATTTTTTGTGTTTTTGGATTGTTTGTCTGTTTGATAAAAAAATATCAAAAAAAAATCGGATTACGGGTATTGTAAAAAAGAAAAAAAATCACATAATGGTCCCCCCTTATGTGTTTTTTGAAATTTTCAAAACTTGTGGAATGACAGGCCCGCCGGGCCGGGCCGGGCCTCCGAAATTCGGGAAAAAGCCCGGCCCGTTACAAGTATGACCCATACCATTGATGGGAAGAACCGCATTTTTCCGGAATACAAAAAACGGAAACGGAAACGGAAAGGGAACTTTTTTCCGCGGAAATGGAAACGGAAAAAAATCTTCAAAAATCGGGCGGAAAACGGAAAACTAAAACGGAAACGGAAACGGAATTTTCTGTTTTTCGTCTATTTTTCAGGATTTTTTCCCTACAAACATAAAAATATACACTTTTTAAAGTTTAAGGACCATATTTGCATCACTTTCCATGCTTTTTTTCAAGCCAGTTTCGGTTTGATATTTTCGTTGTTTTTTACATTTTTTTTCCGTTTCCGCCGTAAAAAAATGGCGGTTTTTAAGGAAAACGGAACCGGAAACGGAAATAAAATTTACCTTTTACGTAAACGGAATTGTAAATTTTTTTCCGCGGAAACGGTGACGGAAAAAAATTTCTAAAAACCGGGCGGAAAACGGAAAACGGAAACGGAAACGGGAATTCCTCCCATCTGACCCACACTGTCGACTTTGAGCTAATTGTTATCGGTTCCCATGAGAGATATCAAAAATGTGTCAACTGATAAAATATTGGTGATATTATGATAAACATTTTATTAGTTGAAATTTTTTCGATATCTTTTGGAGGAGCCGAGATAATTTGGCTCAAACTTGACAGTGTGGTATAGCGTTTGACCAAATTTGTCTCTGTCTCTGTTCCTATGAGAGATATCAAAAAGTTGTCAACTGATAAATTGTTTATCATAATATCACAAACATTTTATTAGTTGAAAGTTTTTTGATATCTTTCACAAGAACTGAGATAAATTCGCGCAAAGTTTGGAGGTAACCTAATTTCAGCGGTTTCCTGAGCTACCTGGTTTTCACATTCGGTCATTTTGTTGCCACACCGATTGTGGAAATAATAAGTCCCAAATGGTCCATAGTATTTGGGCTATTCAGCTATGCAGTCTACGAATCATCTTTTATTTTTATGGATGAATATTTTTTATACTTTGCTGCGATATTTTCTGGATTCGGGGGTTCTTGTAAGTGATCCAATATCCTGATGATCAATTCAAAAAATGCTTCAGTGCTCTACACCGGCCAATTGGATTATTTGGCTCAAAATTGTGAGCCACACACTCTGGACAGAAACTCTTCCAGTTCTTGGGGACTGTCTCAAATCGCGTGGGTTTTGAAAATCTTGGGCCTGTTTCCAAAAATTGAGGCATTGCAGAACGTTACTAGGTGGATTTTTCCTATTGATCTTCTACCGATTTCAAACTGGAAATGAGTTTGATATGTCTCTAGTGAGTTGGTTGTTCATTCTAAAAACTATAAAGAGCGTTTAAGATTCGTCTAATTGTTGGCTCATTTATGGTTAGCACAATTTTATCAATTTTCGATGCATCACTCCTCTCAAAGCCGGTTTTCAAAGCCAAGAAAAACCAAGAGCCATATTTGAAGCATTTGTGTGAGTTTACGTAAAACCTGTAATATAAAGGCTTTCACACGATCACCTCTGAGCTCAATTACCGTAAAAACTGTATTAGAAGGGCCGGCATTTCTATTGTTCCAAGGTACCTCCGGAGGGCCCTTCTATTACAGGGGCCCTTCAATTAAAGGGGCCCTTTCTATTTTTCCGGCCATTTTTTTTCCGAAATTTTGCGTCGGAATTTCGACGAGGTTTCGTTCAAAATTCATGAAAATCTGCCAATTTTACCAAAATTTAGGAAGATTTTCATTTAAAAATAGAGTTTCAACAAAAAAAATTTCTATCAAATTGTGGAGTTCCCGGAATATTTTTTACTAAAAAAGTACGGAAATTTTCTGATTTCGAACCACCCTTTGAAGGGGGTCCTTTTTCACAGAGGGCGCTTCTATTACGGGGGCCCTTTGTTTTTTCAAGCCCCTCTCAGAGGGCCCTTCTATTAGAGGGGCCCTTCCAATAAAGGGGCCCTTCTAATACACAGGTAAAATGCGAACGGGTTCGTTACGGACGCTTCGCGTTCGCGCGCGGTTGAAATGAGAACCGCATACGGACCGCACGCGAACCATTTTCAGTAAATAGCAGTACATTATTCGGATTGATCCGTATCCTGTCCGTTCGCGAGCTCTGTATCCGATCCGATTGCGAATCATGACCAAACGGATCCGTTTGCGAACTCAATAAAACATTTGATTCGCAAACGGATCGGATACAGAGCTCGCGAACGGACAGGATACGGATCAATCCGAATAATGTACTGCTATTTACTGAAAACGGTTCGCGTGCGGTCCGTATGCGGTTCCCATTTCAACCGCGCGCGAACGCGAAGCGTCCGTAACGAACCCGTTCGCATTTTACCTGTGTACAGGTTTTACGGTATCTCAATTTCTATACAATATGGCAAGAATATGTCAGCTAATAAAATGTTTCTGATATTATGATAAGCAATCCATCAGTTGGCGCCTTTTTAATATTTTCAACAGAAACCGAGATTAATTGGTTGGATGCCCTTCTATTACAGGTTTTACAGTTAAACAAATCCTGACAAATAAATTTCAGCACAAATCGTGCAAATTTCATTCGATCGCAATATGCTCCTTCTTCTGCCATCGTTCGTTTACACCGGAATAGAAATGTCCTTCTATTTCGCTGTGTTTCCCACAATGGTATCATTCACAAAATCGTTGGGGAACACAAGAGACTTGAATATAGTGGCAATGATTTTCGTGGGATTCGGAAATATTTGTGGTGCGTTTTTTATAGTTTCGGCTGTTGGCTTGCAACTTCTGATCGCAAATTACCCGGAAACGACTGTATAGCGGGCCATGGTCAGATTTTAAGGCTTTAGTAGCGGTCTCATCTGATCAACTTCCAACCAGAGGTGAGCGTAAAATCGAAAATTCTTGAGTTCAGGCTGCTTCATCTTGTCATTTCTTGGCGCTCGTGTTCGAGAAATCGGAAGAAAGTATCTGGTTTTAATGGCTGCATGCGTCCATCTGATCTCTTTCATTCTTCTGTTTCTATCGTTCCCGGATGAGTCACCACTTCAACCAACTGAATCTTCCAGTTTTCTTAAATCCAGGTATTTAAAAATTTTTATTGAAAGCGGTGCCATACCATTTCAGAACCATTTCAGCTACCGTAAACATTCTAATCAAATGGTCGCTCTTCAATTTTGAGCCAATTTATCTCGGTCCCTGTCAAAGATATAAAAAAAAACATTTAAAGTTAGGCACCACAACAAAATTTTCAAAATAGATTTTTCCCAGTTTTTATTGTTGGATTGCCTTCTCCTACTTCTCCTCCATTCCCAATTTTTCAGCGAAAAATCTTAATTCAATCCCGAGTTACAGACCCTTTTGTACCAGACCTCAATGTACTGACTTTCTCCTTTTTGTTTTGCGGTGCGCAGAAAAGTGGGCGGGGTTTAGAAGCTTGCAATCCTGCGGCGCGGAAAATTCGTGAAGGAAATCAAAGAAAAAGCTATTCGACGCGAGTGAGACCCGAACCTCCGCCTGCGTCAGATCGGCGCGCGCGCCCACTTTCCAGTCACAGGCAGGGTTGCAACCGGCCGGGCCGAGATTATTTTTTCTCCAGCCCGGCCCGGCCCTGCCGGAAGCCCCGACCAGCCCGGCCCGGCCGGTTCGGCCGGTTCGGCCCGTTCGAATTTAAGAAAAAACAGAAATTATTGAAGAATTATTTGAATTTATTTCTTAACAAGTAGCATAACAATGTAAAAACCGTATAAATGAACAAAGGGAAACAAAGAAATGGAAACCGGGGGAGAAAATTAAAGCTCATATCAACCAATCCAACAAAAAAGATAGAAAAGTAACATAAAATTAACTAGAAAAATCACTACAATTAGTGAGAGAATCAGTCGAGCCAGTGTGGAAATTTCGTGGCTATTTGCGAACCCAGAACGACCATCTCCACACGCTTGTACAGTAATCTTGTTCTTGTTTTATCTAACAAAAACGACGCAGTGCTGAACGTAGTCTCACACATGGCTTCACTGGGAACAATCGAAAAAAACGAAAAGTGCTGCTGAGTACAGTCCGGGGTATTCGAATCTTTTTCTTTTCCAATACTCCTCAACCGATTCGTTCGTTGAAGGATCGTAGTACTCGGAGAGATATCTTGAGATTTCCGAAGAAGTGGATGTTGAGTTCGCTTGGTCACTGACCGAATGATATAACTTGCAATTAGATTTGACTTCTGTGATGAGGTGGGTTGAGTAGTGGAGGGAATAGCTGACGGCATTAACTTTGTGACAAGAACACGGGCCTGAAAGTTTCAGAAAAAATATTAATTAATTGCCGGCCGACCGGGCCGGGCCGGGCCCTGGTTTTTTTCCCTCGGGCCGGCCCGCCGGCCAGCCCGTCAGATTGCAACCCTGGTCACAGGTCCTGGGCGCGCATACGCATAATGGATGGGCGACGGAGGACGCGCCATTGAATTGGGTGCAGGGAAAGGGCGCCGGTATGGGGCATATACGGGGCATATGGGGCACACCGCCGCCGCAAAGCATTTTCTCTCCTGGCTTGCTGGCTGGCACTCGATGAAATGAAATAAAACGTTGGTTGGGGGTTCCTAGAAGTATCAGTTAAGTTCTATTATGATGTGATTTTGTTCAGGTCTTCCGATTTCGTACTTTTCCTTTATTATTCCATATTTTTTTATATTTTGAACGACATATTACTGATTTTTCGAAACTCAATGTTTTTGTTTTGAAGAAGACTTATGGCAGTTTCCATTTAAATTTGATATGCAAATTCATATTTTAAAAATACAATCAAAAACAGAAGAAAATGGGAAAAAATTAGCTAAAAATTTTTTTTTTTCATTTCAAAAAATATGTCTCACTTTCACTTTTTTTGAAATTGCATGAAAAAATTGATAATTTTTATAACACTTTGTAATTAATGCATACTTACCAACTTACCTTTTAATCCAACTGAAAAAACGATTTTTACAATAATTACAAAGTGAAATCAAAAATTTCAATATCACCTATTTTGGCGAAAAACATAGCAATTAACGAGTGAAATACATGTTTCTGCAAGAATTCAGCGATTTTTTATTCTGCCATAACTCTTTTTCACAAAAAACATCGAAGGAATAATCGAAAAACCAGAAATGTAGGCTCGATTTGACGAAAAATTGACAAAGTTGCCGGTGTGGATTTACGGTAAACAATGCGCGCATCCGGGGTTTCGGAGTGTTGTAGTCGGCCTACCGTATCAGACCCATATCGCACACATCGCCCACCCACACAGAATCCATCTAGGATACGCGCGCATCCGGAACACTCGATTCAGCCTCTCCCGCATCGCACACATATGAGACTCATCGCAGCTCGTTGTTCGCGATATGTGTCAAACGGACTTCTAGTGGATCGATTATGGATCGGGTCCTTTATGCGCATCATCGCCCAGGACCTGTGGTCAGCCACGGCTGCACTCGCGGTGGCAGCCTTAGAGGGGAAATAAGAGTGTGCGACTCTTCGTTGCCTGCTGCCTCCTTCCGGTGTTGCCTCCTTCTTGTTTTTTTAATGGATCGCACTACGAAAGATGAGGGAAACGGCGTCTAACATTTTTTGGCCACATACGAATTTTCAAGTTAGGATTGTATTTAGTGGCAAATTTTGCGTAGAATCTTTGGTAAAAAGAAATTCGGTGGCATTAATCTGTGTCATCCTCAAAACTTCCAAAAACCGGAAATTTTGCAAGTTTAGAATTTTCGGATGCGTATGAAAACTATTTAAAGGTAAGCATTCTTTCTGAAAATTGACACAGGTGTACACAAGACTCACTTCGTCACTCAAGACTCGTCAGTTTTACCATAATAGGCAAAAGCAATTTGGGGTCGTCACTGAAATTTTTTATTTATTTTGGCTGGAACTTTGGCTGAAAATCGCGTTTTACGGCCACATACGAATTTTGATTTTTCTTCAAAATCCAATTTCCCATTTCATAAACTACCAGAATCCATCAAAAAATCTGGTGGCACGAACTTCCATCCAACACTGTTAGTCCATTTTGTCTGTCCGGTCCCTGTTTTTCGAAGTTTTCAAATCAAAATAATAAGATTATTAAAAAACTGATAATTCCATTCGATTTTTCGCAGTCGATTACATAGGGACAAATTTTAACCCTAAAAATAATGAGGTTCTAACGCCCGGTACAAGACTTCAAAGATGGACTTCTGAAAAGGGGAGAAAAATTTGGTCGTCCCGCCCCCTTTCATTGCGGCGCCTATTTAAAGTGATAAAATGTTTATCATAGTATCACAAACATTTTATCACTTGACAAGTTTTCGATATCTTTTGCAGAAATTGATATAAACGAGCTCAAAGTGGAAGTACAGGGTGCGGCAAAAGTTCTGCTACAAAAAGAAGACGTCATAACTTCTCGGAAAATAGTCCAATCCGTGTCAAATTTTGACAGAACTTTATCAAAGAGATTTGTGACAAAATTAAATTATAATTGGTTGTTTCTGATAGCTCTGTTTCTGACGGTGGAGCTCTACCGTTCGGGTAGCGACGATGGTGGCACGGGGGTGGTCTGCCGGCGAATTGTCCCATTCCGCTCAAAAAATATTTTAGAGAGCACCCACAATCCTGTGAAAACGAACATGAACATGTGCTCTAAAAGTTTCCGGCACGGTAATCCCCATTGGATGGTGATCTGACTAGAGACAGGCCATCCTTTTTAGGGGATCAGGTTGGAACAATTGATTTTCGCACTTTCTGCTGAACACGTTTTTCCGTGTGAGCAGGTTCTACATCTTTCTGGGTAGTCTAATTTTGGGAGCTTCATGGCACGATGACTTAGGCATCATAATTTTGACCAGAATTTGTATTCCTTGCCCACTTGCTTGGTCTCGTGGATCCGCTAAAAACAGTGAAAAAATCAAGTGAGGTGCAGGCAGTAATGCCATCTTCGTAAAAATTGAAATATGAATATGGAACTTTACAAATCTACTAATAAGAGATGGAGAAGAAAATGAGCAAAATATCAACCCATGAAAAATGCGCCAGCGCGCTCCAGCTCAAGTCAAACTTTTGGTAACAGTACTTTTTCCGCACCCTGTAGGGCATTAGAGTGTCTACGGTATTTGAAATTCGAATACAAATAAACTTATATAACTTTTCTATCTTATAAAGTTCTTACAGTAATTGTAAATTGGATTCAAAAAACTTTAAAGTTCCAGCCAGTATTCCGTGGTACTCTGCGGTGTCCTAATAGGGTTCGGCGATGCTATCATCAATCAACAATGCTACACGATTCTCAACGACATCTACGACAAAAGTCAACGGGTTGAAGCATTCGCAGTGTATAGATTTTATCAGGTAAGACTTCATGAATTGAAAAAAAATTTGAAAAACAAAAGTTCAAATTTCAGAGCTTAGCTGGCAGTATCGCAATGCTCTATTCGGCTCATGTCTTGTTAAAAGTTCATGTGACGGTTCTTATCACAGTGGGTGTTATTGCTACTGCGACATTCTTTGGAATACGGTAACTAAATTTTTTTGTTGAAAATCGGAAAATTTGAATTTCCAGAATTCCAAAACATCATTATCAAGAAGCCGCCAGTTGTGATGAGACTGAAAAGAAGAATATTGAAATTCTATAAATCAAAGTTCTTGTTTCAAACTTCAAGTATAAAAAAACTACAAAACAAAAAACAGTTATTACAACCTGAAGAAAACTAGAAACAGTAGCTATTTCATAAAAAAAGAAAAGTTCAAAAGAATACGCCATTAGCTTAACGACCTTCTCCTTCGGTGTGTCCTAATGGTCAAAGTATAACTTTTATAACTTTCGTTTTGTATAAAAGAAGCCTCAGAATCCCCAGAAAACCACCATTCCAAAAGAAATGCGCTCTCTCATCATCTCCTCTGCCCTTCTGGTCATTCTCGTCCAATGCGGGTATCCAGTAGCCGACACCTACCCAACACTACCACCGACATATCCAACAACTCCCAGCTATCCAACCACCCCATCCTATCCAACCACCCCATCCTATCCAACCACCCCATCCTACCCAGTTCCATCGTACGTTGTTCCAAAGAAGTATCCAGTTGCTCAAACATACCCAACCAAGCCGACTTACCCATCTCCACCAACTGACTACGCTCAGAAGCCATCGTACTCCGCTTCACCACCACCAGCACCATCTGGATACACATCCAGTGACAGCGAAGTTGTGGGATCGGAGCCAGGGTATGCTCCAGCTGCCTCCACTTACTCTGGAAGCGCCGCAACGGACTACAACTCAGCTGGAACTTGTGAGTTTGTCAAAGAGGATTTCAGCCTAAATTGGATAATTTCAGTCCGTCAACGCGCCAAGGCTCGCACCGCCCAGAACCGCCAATTCCATCGTCGTGCGCTTACTCCAATCAAGAGATTCCAACAGAGAAAGCACTAAATTTAAAGGGACCTTGTTGCTTCAAACACTGCTATTCACATCTTTTGTATTGCTTCCAATAAAAACATTTTTGTAGCATTCAAATTTACCTCTTCGGATTTAGACTGTGTACTTAGCATAGGTTTTTTTTACAGAATCCCCGGGTAACCATACTTGCGACCGGGCCTTTGTGGGATCTATCATAGTTCTTTCTACTTAAAATTAATCTTTACAGACCAACCAAATTAGATATGATAGAACTTACAGACAAAAAACAAAGGCCCGGCTCGGCCAGGGCTCACGCGACGAGACCCGGTAACTTTATGACTTGTAACTTAGTTCAAAGACAAGATACAGTAACTTGATAAATATCATTTTGTAGTACTCGTTGAGTTCTATCATATCCAATTTAGTTGGTCTAAAATTTTGGATTCTGAAAGAAACTATGGCAGGGCCCGCGAAGGCCGGGGAAAGGCCCGGATTACAAGTATGGTTTCATCAGAATACCCGGGTAACCCTTGGTTGGCTTCCTGTGTTAGCTGAAACGGCCTATGTTCAGAACAAAATGTTAGTCCCTCTCTAACCCAAAATCCCAATATAAATCCCTTCCCAAAAAAGAACAACACTCCCGATTTGTTTAATTACACGTCTTGGAGCAAAAGAGTCGGAAAGAGAGCCGATTTTATGGCCTTCCGACTGCGGTGGTCGTCTGCCAAAATGAATCAAGTTGTATGATGTCCTCAACGACTTTTTCGTCTTCCTTTCCTTTTTTGACTCCTCGCGCAAAGGTTGGAAGGAGGAAGCGAAAGTGGGAGAAGAAGAAGAAGAAGAGGAGAATATGCGGCAATACGCATTGAAGATTGGAAGAAGAAAAGAGTAATTGAACTCGTTGAGCGATGATGTGTTACACTTGCGGTACGGAGGTGAAACAGCATGTTTGCCAGATCTACACGTGCACTTTGAGCTCAATTATCTCGGTTTCTATGAAAGGTGTCGAAAATTTGGCAACTCATAAAGTGCTGGCAATGCTATGATAAATAATTTATCAGTTGACCAGTTTTCGATATCTCTCACAGGAAACGAGATAATTAGGTTTAAAAGAACGATCTTTTAAAGGAGTTTTACAGTTTCCAGAAGAAAAATTCGAGTGTTATTTAAACGTGACAAAAAAAATTTGTTTATAAAAGAAATCCAAATTATAGAATAAAAAAGCTACGTGAAATGGTATAGAAACCCGAGATGGCCGATCGACCTCAGGAAGAATTACTATAAAGGAAGATAGAAGTGGAGGAAAGAATCAGTTCTCCCTTCTCTCGGCTCCAGAAAAGAATGGGGACCCGGAGAAAGGATAGGGTCCTGGGTCCTGGGTCCTGGGTCCTGGGTCCTGGGTCCTGGGTCCTGGGTCCTGGGTCCTGGGTCCTGGGTCCTGGGTCCTGGGTCCTGGGTCCTGGGTCCTGGGTCCTGGGTCCTGGGTCCTGAGCTCAAACTTGACAAAGCGCGTGCCCTTTTATTAAGGGTTTTACGGTATGTGAGACCATAATATTTTTTAACATTTTTAAATATTTAACTAGATATTCAGAAACCTAGAAAATAATTTCCCCCACCAACGATAAAAATGTTGCAAAATCTAGACATCTGCAAGTTTTTTTCATGACACCTTCCGCGGAAATGGATATTTCGCATCTGCGGAATCGAGATCAATCTTCACACATAGTATTTCTAGGATTACGTGATTATTGTTAGGTCTTGAAAAGTTAGAGATACCCTACATTCTCTCCTAAAATCCCACCATATGGACTTTGAGCTAAATTATCTCGGTTCCTATAAGAGATATGAAAAAGATGTCAACTGATAAAATGTTTATCATAGTATCACAAACATTTTATCAGTTGACAGCATTTTTATATCTCTAACAGGTACCGAGAAAAATTAGCTCGATGTTCGATGTTCTATTACGTGTGGTACGGTAAGTTTTTCGGAGTTTCGATTCAAGTTTGGTTACTTTGAATGATACTGTTAGGGTTCAGAGAAGCAACACAATTTAGACAAATTCAAACCTGACATCTGGAATTTCAGAAAATCAATAAATCTTTCATTGCAAGATCATAGCACAGATAAGAGATTGCTAGAATCCAGTTCTCACGAACAAGTTAACCTATCCACTGATCTTACCAGTTCAAATTAGTGAAACACTTTACGAATGAGTGATTTTCTGAATAGGATGATTACAATCTCAAATATCAGATTTTCCGAGTTCAGCTTCCCAAAGTATAGCAAACCTAGGTTCCTGAGAAGTTCCTCAAGATCATTCCATTTCCCTCCGATCATCATCCAAGAAGTCCAAATGCCATCATAGATTCTCCAGCGCCCGCAAACTGCTTATGTATGCCATTTCGCAAAAGATATCGAATCTCGTTATTCCTTCCTCTATTTCAATCCTATTCGATCAACAAAAAGCCTTACGCAATCCACAATCTATCCGATTCTTTTGATGAATTGGTGAAGGCATCGGGAAACAAAAGTGATAATGAAGTGATTCCAATTGAAATGATTAGAGATTGGATTAGAAGATGAAAGAACTTTAATTAGAATTCAATCCCAAAGTTCCTCGTTGTCCTCCTCTTCTTGCTTCTCATTGTTCCTTAAGGTGTGACATGCAAATGTCTCGGCCACAGGATTAGCATGTTTCTCCTCTTCACAACAAGCGGTCAACAAAAAAAAAGGCCGAGACATCTCGTCCTATTTCCTCTTTTTCTACCATCTGATGGCTAACGAAGCTTAAAACCCGTTTCGACGTCGCAACAAGGCGGGGAGGATGATGATACCGAGAGAGGGAGAGGCATATAACACACCTCTACTATAAATTGTCATTTATTCCTTGGATTGTGCCTTCATATTTCGAGACGAAGATGTTGAGAACTACTCTTTTATTAGCCATCGGTGTTGTTGCTTCTCAGGTAGGTATTTTGTTATTGTTGGTAGAATTATTAGCTGTATTTTACTATTTTTTAAAATATTTATTGACCATAATGTTAGCCAATTCTGTATAGCCAGTATTCCTCCCACTTCTTCTATCGTATCTTTTTAAATAAAAAAATTCTATCACTAAATTTAAAAGAAATTCGTTTTGGTCTACAATTAGGACTAACTATTTGAGGAAGTATATAATAAAAGGGCCCTCTAACTTCGGGCTGAATTTTCTCGGTTCCTGTTGAAGATATCAAAAATCTGTCAACTAATAAAATGTTGCTGATATTATGATAAACAATTCATCAGTTGACAAATGTTTGATATCTTCCACAGGAACCGAGATAATTGAGCTAAAACTGAACGTAAATAGTTTACTTCTATAAGAGCATTCATATGTGGTCCTTGGGTTTGCCGTAACTGTTTTGGGCCATTTTCTAGCTATTTTGGTAACTATCTTGGACTATTTGGAATTACTTAGATCTGGGAAAACGCTGGTTCTTTGCAGCTTCCATATGGCAGCCGCAACCGCCTCGTTGGCATTTTTTTTGGGTGATCCGACCACCCTAGAAACTCTTTTCTTCTCTAATGAAGCCAGAGATGTGTGGTTTGAAATTTTCAAAATTTTAAGAATTTGAGAAAGTATTATTGGCTAACTTGACCGAAGACCGCATACCATAACTAGTCTGATCGAAGCCTACCTTTTAATTTGAGCTCAATTATCTCGGCTATTAAAAAAGATAGCAAAATTATGTCAGCTGTTAAACTATTGGTCGTCTTATGATAAACAATTTATCAGTTGAAAACTTCTTGATATCTGTGACAGGAACCGAGATAATTGAGCTCAAAGTGCACATACATGATGAGCCTCTATTAGAGCATTTACAGAAAATGATATTTGATATTACGATACCGAAGCTTCCCCCATCCTTATTGTTATTTTAATTTTCAGGCCTTCTTCTTTGGAGGAGGCGGTGGTGCCGCTTGCGGTTGCTCTGCTCCACCAGCTTGTCCTCCACCACCATCACCATCTCCATGTGGTGGCGGAGGAGGTGGCTATGCTAGAGCATACTCTGCACCAACATTTGCCGCCGGAGGAGGATCCTACCCACAACAGCCACTTTATCAGCGTGAGTTATGTCTATATAGCCGCCCAGGTGCTGAGTGGTTTATCACCAAGCATGGCCTTTATGATCCCGAAGATCTCACATGTGCCTTTCCCATCCTCGGCAAACCATGAAAAATTACAATTTTCAGCACAACCATCCTACCAACCAGCTGCTGCTCCAGCCGCCTTCGGATCTTCCTATGCTGCTCAACCACAGCCATTCGCCGCTGCTCCAGCTCCATTTGCATCTCAACCACAATCGTTCGCAGCTCAGCCACAATCATTCGCTGCTGCGCCACAGCCAATTGTTTCGCCACCACAAGGATACGCTGCCCCACACAAGAGACACATCATCAACAATATGGAAGACACCGGAGTCGATCAATCTGAAGGATATGTTGCCCGTGTGAAGAGAGACGAGGAGGCTGTCTTCGATCCAAAGTGCAATTCTGAGGATCTCAAGGCTATTATTATTGCTGTGAGTTTGTAGAAAAAGTACTTGTCCGTTTTGTCTGAAAATTCCGTATCCCATAGACCGAGTCTGGAACTTCATTTCTGTATAAAAATCAAGTTTCTAGCTTTATTTTGGAGCGAGTTATAGAGCGTGCAAGGACACAATCGGCTGGAGGTGAGGCGCCCTTCCCTGTCTCGCTCGACACCTCCAGCCGACCGCGTCTTGGTCAGCCAATTGCTTGTAAATACAGCTAGAAAATTGATTTTTGTATTAAATTAAATTGTAGAAGAATTTTTTCTAATTGTCAAATCTCTTAAAACTCGTCAAAAAACGGACCAAAACACCAGAAAATTGTAAACGCTGATACCGTAAACGATGTTAATTTTGACCCGATTTATCTCGGTACTTATCAAAGATACAAAGCAGTTGTTAACTGATAAAATGTTTTTCAGATAATGATGAACATTTTATCAGTTGACAATTTTTTGATATCTCCCACAAGAGCCGAGAAAAGCTAGCTCAAAGTTAAGAGCTATGGGAACCTTCTATTACAGGTTTCAATGTAAATGACGAGCAAGTTTTTCAAAATGTTCCCAAATTGATTGATTCTAGAATATCAGAAAACCACAGTTCTATTTTTACCCCTAGCTACTTTCCCTTTTTTGCACTATCCATTAATTTTCCCCTCATCCTCTCCCAACGGAGATCTTCCAACCAGATAAAACCATCAGAATCGCTCTCATCAACAATCAAAAAACGCAGTTCTCACACTATCAGTTTCTCATTATCACCCCCGATATTTCCGAGCGCCGTCCATCATTGACGTTTTTTTTTTCACCATAAATCTGATGACAGTTTTTTTCTGAGAACTGGCCTATTCTATGTACCAACATTCCTCTTACCCCCCCCCCCCCCCATTATTCTTAACTACCTACCTTATTAGTTGGGAACTTTTGAAGAAGATTTTTTGATTCGTTTGTCTAATAGAAAAAAACTTTGCAGAACATCAACGAGAGCACCGCCGTTGCCAAGCGTCAAATCCAATCCGCCGCCGCCGATGCCATCGGAGGACGCGTTGACGTCATCTGCTCTAAAGGAACCTTCTCCTACATTGTGAATACCGAATTGTACTGTGAGACGGAGAAGGATGGAACCACATGCTTCGCCTTCAAACAATCTTCCTAGATCTTATTATTTTTGATTAATAACTCTATTATTGTCTTTATCAAAAATGTGCAATTTCCCCCCACTGATGTAGATTGAAGGCTAATAAATTTTCGACTATCATTGTCATTACTAATAACATTCACCAAATTCCCTATGTGCGGATGTATGTCGCGTGCCTTTTGACCCATTCAAAGTTAACCGATCGAGCTGAAACCTGGGCAGGCGAATCAGAAATTTTTATTAGCTGATGCCCGAACTCTTGGTTTTTCGAAATTTTGATTTTGAGGTTTTCTCGAGATGTTCCTTGGTTTCACCACAGTGAATGGTAGAGGGCAGGGAGGACGAGCGAGGAGGGGAGAGGAGGAGAGGGAGAGGAAAGCACACATATTGCGAAAACTCTGAAAAAGACTCTGAAAAAGTGTTCCCTGAATGAAAGTGTCGAAACCTCTTCATGAGATTACGGGTACAGTATGCGGAGCCCAGGAGGTTCAGCCCCGGAGGGGCGTAAACCGCCTGGCAGAGTACACTGACATGTATTCGACGACAAAGAGAAGGCCACTGACACATACACATTTTGCATTTTTCGAGACTCCGCCCCTTTCCACCCTCGCCCCCGGCCTCTCCTTTCGCTGCTCGTCTTTTTTTTCGGCATTCGCGTGTTCGTGTACAATCAACATGAATAACGGGCAATCTTCCACTTCGAATGGCTTAGACCCCGAAAGGGTTAAAGAAGAATTGGAATCTGTGGAATTGGACGAAGAAGAAGAAGAAGAAGAAGAAGAAGAAGAGATATCGTCGACAACCGCTCAGAGGCTCTTTCAGGATGTCATGACGGATATCAACGTGGAAATGGCTGAGCTTCAGCATGAGATTGGTGAGTGATTTTGGTTTGAAGGAAGTTGGTGCATTTTTTTGGATAAACTACAGTAACGGTCATTAAGACATATTTAGGTCATTGCGACACATAGTTTCTGCCTATTGACAGGTACTGTACGCCCTACCTTGCCCCACCGTAGCTCAGCTGGTAGCTCCGAGGCAGCTCTGGCGTTGGGTCCAAAAGTTCAACTTCTTTTGATTTGTGTATATGATCGAAATTTCAAGAAACTCATGATTTTATGCCTCGATCCCCCTTTAAATACAGTCAGAATGATTTTAGAGCTCTTCACTCCAGAGGAGCAAGCCTGGATCAATGACCAGGCCGTGATCAATCTCAAGGACGTTCAGAAGACCGTGGCATTCGCTCGTCGGAAGGATATGGAGCATACCACGAGTGAGTTTAGAGGACCGTTGGGTCATTTTGAGATCAAAATGAGTCATCTTAGATTCATTATTTTCTAGATTCCTGGAACAAATAACAATGAGTCATAATATCCAAAAAAATTTTTTGAAAACAAGAACTGTAAAATTTTGTGCCGAAAATGACGATTAATGGGATTTTGTTTGAATGTTTTTTTGACTGGAGATGCCATTGAGTCAATATTAGTGACTACATCTTTCTAGACGAAAAAGAAGATGGATCTAATTTTGAAAATCGATGCAAATCACAATTTCAGAGTACCAGAAGATGCTTCTGGAGCAGAAGCGCAAGGCTCTGAAGACGTTCAAGAAGCGCCTCGAGCAGAACACGAGATACAACCCGGGAAGAGTTGCGAAGAGTCGTGCCGCGGAGACCACATATCCCAGTGACGATGGTAGGATTCTAAAAAAATTGATTTGAATTTTTCCCAAAGTAAGAATTTCAGAGATCGAAGTGCTCCACGAGAAAGTGGTGAAGAAGAAGAAGAGCAAGAAGAAGTGAGCAATGATCGTTATCTACAGTATCTTCTGATGATTTCCCCGAATGATATCCCCAAGTGTTCACCATGATTCCAGTCTAGGCCTTCGTCACATTTCCGACCCCTCTTTTTTCTTCCCCCCTTGTCACTTTCTCGCTCCCCGGTACTTACACTTCTCTGGTGTGTTCAGCACTCTTTTTTCTATTCAATAAACTTTGAGAAACTATAACCCGTTCCGTTTTGAAATCTACTTTACGTCTTCAGGTAATTAGCAGACTACTGTAGTTCTCATTTTCCATGTTCCAGTCTTCATGTCCCCTCCGTCTTGGCGTATTGTACTACCGACCCCTATGAAGTTGTCTTGGCAGGCCGCCCGTGTGTTTGCTCCTACCAAGTCAATCTTTATTGTTGGTTTTTTTTATGCGAATGACCAATAAATTTCCCTTTACTGGGTGATAAAAGACCAGAAAGCGGGAACTGTAATGGGAAATAATAATGGAAAGTCCCCCTATTTCTACATCTGAAAATTCTCGGAAAATTTCCTCAGACAAATAAATGTCAGTTTCGTAATAAATCCCCATGACATTTTCCTGATTAATTTTTTTTTTGAAAAAATGGCTTTTTAAGTGTGCGGGAAGGCTTGATTGGATATGTGTATAGCTGATTGGAGTCTGGGGGAAATGATCTTTCGGAATCCGAATGGAATTAGGGGAGGATAATGCATTGACTATGAGAGGAATGAAAGGGCTCAACTACAGTAACCCGCTTGTCGGAAGTTCTGAAAGAAAGGTCATCTGGCGGTAATCTGATAACTTTTACTTTTACAAGCTCGCGCGTTCTCTTTGTTAAGCAAATTTTGATTTGCGGTAATAAGATGAAACAACCTTGATAAGACCATTGAGATGTGTGATGTTGATTACGATCGAACAAAATTTCCAAAAATCGCTCAAATTCTCTACTCAAAAAATTCTCCAACGATATTTCGAAAAAAAATACAGTAGTCCAAAAAATGACCTAACAAGCACCTATAGGCGATTTTAGCGATTTCGACATGGTGGCCTAACTTTCTTAACATGGTTTTTCCAGGCCACCGTAGTTGATGTTCCAAAATTGACCTGACTTTCACATGGTGTGTTTCCTAAGCAATTTAGCATGGTGGCTTAACTATTTCAAGTTGAGCTCTCTAGGCTATCAACTTTTTTGGAATAGAAATGGCCGGATATTCACAAGGTTTGTTTTTGGGTCACTTTGAGATGGTGGCCTAAGTTTCGCAAGTTGACTTTTCTAGGCCACCATGGTAAATGACCTAGAAAACAAGCAAGGTTGATACCAGGACGTTTATAAGTCATTCATCGTGGTGACCTAACTTTTGCGAGTTCAAATTTCTAGGCCATCAACTTTTTTGGCCTAGAAAGGACCTTATAATCACTTGGAGTGTTTTCAAGGTCATCTACCATGGTGGCCTAACAAACTCAACTTGCAAAAGTCAGGCCACCATGTGGCCTAGAAAACACATGAAGGCTTGTTAGGCTATTTCTAGGTCATGTATCATGGTGGCTAGACTTACGCAAGTTGAGTTTTCTAGGCCGGCACGGTAAATGGGCTAGAAAACACACGATGTTAATATCAGGCTATTTTTATGCCGTTTGAGATGGTGGCCTAGAAAACTCAACTTACAAAAGTTAGGCCACCATGTTTAAATGGCTAGAAATGGTGTGATATTTATTTCGTGTGCTTTCAGACCATTTTAACATGGTGGCATAACTTTCGAAAGTTGAGTTTTCTAGGCCACCATGGTAAATGACCTAGAAAACAAGCAAAGTTGATATCAGGCTGTTTATAAGTCATTCATCGTGGGGGCCTAACTTTTGCGAGTTCAAATTTCTAGGCTATCAACTTGTTTGGCCTAAAAATGACCTGATATTCAGAAAATTCGAAATTTCGCAATTTTTTGAGACATCGAAAAATTCTGATGATTACTTTTCGAAAACGCATGAAATCAATTACTACTTTTTGGGGTTGTTATGCGTCAGACACACTTACAGGCGCATATATTTTCAAATGAGGTTTCGCGCCGCCTTTGCGCAAAGATGCTAGGTATGGTCCGCGCAGACAAAAAACAAAATAAACATATTTCTCTCTCATTTAATGGGCCCATTTTTTCTATTAATCGATGGCCAGCCTAAAAAAATACTAGTTGTCAATTAGTACTTTTTGCAGTATTGAACATCTGCTCACCAAAAACACTTTTTAACAGCTGCACACATTTCTTAATGCCTTTTTCTACCCCCCTGTCATCCGATTACCCTTTTTTCAACCGTTTTTTTTCATGTCTCTCTATTGTTCATCTGTTTAACTCAAGACACGTGCGCCCTACTGACATAGATTTCTCATTTTATTCTATGCCGCAGGATTATTGATTTTTTAGCTATCCGTGTCAAAAAACATTGTCATCAATTTTTCCTGGAAAATTTCGGGTTTTGAAAAAAAGATCCGTTGTAAAAGCCAACGCGAATATCTCGTCGGGTGGTTGCCAAGGGAGGATCTCTGCTTCTCTTTTCTTTTTGAAGTCGCTTGCTATTATACCGCAAAACCTGTAATAGAAGGGCCCCTGACGTTTCACTTTAAGCTAATTTTCCTCGGTTTCTGACAAAGAGATGAAAAAGTGGTCAACTGATAAAGTGGTAAAGTGGTGTTCTGATAAAGTGGTTTATCAGAACATCAAAAGTGTTTTGTCAGTTGACAACTTCTTGATAACTTTCATAGGAATTGAGATGATTTTGCTAAAGCTTGCAAGTGTGGGGGCCCTTCTATTACAGGTTTTACTGTAATTAAACTTCAGGAAAAAAGTTTCATTCTGAAAAAAATCAATTTTTTCCAGGTAAAAATGTTCCAAAACCACGAAAAATTAGGCACCGAAACTTCCACCCCAGCCAGAGATATCGGTCAGAGTTTTTAGAAAATTTTCAACATTAACCCTCTCGATTTTCAGGAATCTTCCCGAATCCTGCATTCCAAAGCCCAGAAGAGCGTGCTCGTGATGCTCCACGTCTAGAGATGCTCCGCAAGCTCCAAGACGTCGTCGACGCCCGCGGTCTCACCGACTTTCATGAGATTCTAAAGGCCAAGGAAGAGGTAGAGAAGAGTCTGAAACGGGGAAGTTCAAGTGATGTGGAGAATGTTGAGCCGGTGTCGGAGGAGAAAGAAGAAGAAGTGAAAAGGAAGAAAAAGAAGGAAAAGATGGCAGCTGCGAAGGAGCCGAAAACGGAGAAAAAGAAGAAGGAGATGTTCCCGCGTCTCGTTCGCCGCAACGCTCGTCGCGGCGGGTCCACCGAGGAAGGGCAGACATGGACCGAGGAGGGTAAGGGGCTATTTTTTGATTGGTTAAAAATTTATGGAATTATTATTTTTGCAGTTGTCATGTTCTGATGGTACGGGATGGCACAGGATGGGCGTCGCTTCTTTTTTGTTGTTCTTTTCTATGTTAATAATGGAACCATATGAATCTTTTTTTGTTTCTAATTCTTGTGATTTCAAGTCGAAAAAAAATGAAAGAAGAACTGAACATTCTCAGAAATCGTTGGAGGACTGCTCTAACAGAATTGTTCATTATAATATTACCAAAGTTTTATTACTTGACAAGTTTTTGATACATCTTATAGGAACCGAGATAATTGAGCTCAAGATACAGGTATAGGATGGACTATTTTTAGAGCATTTACGGCATATGTGGTCTTTAGGTTTGCCACCGCGTAGCTAGTTCGCCTCTATAAACGTTCTGTGCTATAAAATCCTGAAAATTCTAAAAATTTTAAAATGGTTCAAATGGTTTTTGCTCACGAACCAATTTCTATTGTGATAGTAGTAGTTTAAAATTCGTAAACTCAAAGACACAATTTTAAACAAAAACATTTTAGGATCTACAACTATTTTGTGTCATTCTGAAGCCCGTGAAATTCGCTTCAAAACGGTGTAATTTTCATTCATTTTGGTCCATGTTAAAGCAAGTTATGCGCCTTTAAAGTTGGCCGCCGTTTAGAAATATGCAGACAGCGAGAGTACTCTCGTTTCTCTGCGTCTCTCCTCACGACTTTAAGTCGCTGTATCTCATCATTACCGGTGTCTATTAATTTTACAGTGTTGCAAATTTTCAATTTTTCTTCGCTATGTTTGTTTCTATTGCCAGTGTACACGTATGGTTGCTCGTCATCCACAGAGCTCAGCTGACCCCAAACGGTGGCATATAACTCAGTACCTGCTATTTCAAACGATGAGTCTATTTTCGTTGCTCTTAAACGTGCCTAGATTTTTCCGCCTGAATTTTATTTTCAAAAACCAAAACACTCTGTTCCCACTTTTCTTTCGCCCATTTCTCTGCTCCCCTCCTATTGAAATCAACCAGATTGTCAGAAAAATACAATTTTCGTGTCATCAACCATCTGACACTCGTTCCCACGTTTTCCAAACCAGAAAAAGCTAAATTAGCATAAAATGTATAGTCGATGGTTTCTGATTTGATTTTGGTGTTTGATGATGAATGGTGGAGATGAGGGATTGAAGAATTTTAACAGTTTTCCTGGGTCCCTGTTTTCTTCTGGTCCAAAAAAGTGAGGAACAATGATGTCAATCGTTTACTCCCGCGTGTGCGTTTGCGCAATTATGCTTGTATGAGTTGCATTTGTTGCTCGTCTGCGGGTCAACTTCCCCCTCTCCGTCCTGGATATTGTCATTATACAGGTGTCAAATGGGTGTCGAATTACACGGAAGGTGTGTTTCTGTTTTTGAGGGGTCACATGGACATGATAAAGCATACTTGCGGACGGGCCTAAAGCGGGCAGTGGCGGGCCCTGTCATAGTTTCTTTTAGGATCAATATTTTTTGACTAACTAAATTAGATATGATAGAACTTTTCTAGCACTACTAAA